CCCCTTTTTCCTTCCTATATAGCAGGCCTGTCTGCCTCCCTTGGTTGGCACACATGCGTAGTGAGGGGGTGAGACTGCGGCGTGCTGCCTGTGTGTTTGTCAGTGTGCGCGGGGGGCGGTCATGGCAGTTGGGAGCGCTGCAGCCCTGGCGCTGCTAGAGCCCGCCCTGCCCCCGTGGCCAGCGGGTCGCTGCCCGGGAGAGAGGCGCCAGCGTGAACACGGGGCCTTAGAGAAGCCCCCGGTACAGCGAAGGTGGGGGGAGCTGGCGGCCCCAGAGCCTCCGTGACAAACGAGGCACCGTGGCACGGGTGAGCTGGCAGGGGTCTCGGGCCAGCTAGTCCTAGCCCTTGCTCGGAGCAGGGCCAGCGCCAAAGATCTCATCCCACCCAAGGCTTAAAAGCCTCCAAGGAGGGGGCTTCCACAACCTCTCTGGGGCTGTTGGTCTAGGGACCAGAGGCAGGCAAGGCTCTTTGGGTAGATGTGATATCATTATTAAGTCAGTTAAATTTCTTAGACCAACTAGCTGGTCTAATAAAAGATACCACATCTACCCAAGCAGCCTTTCCTGCCTACCTCCTCTCTGGGTAACCTGTTCCAGTGCTTCACTACCCTCCTCATAAGAGGTTTTCCTCATATACAACCTAAATCTCCCTTGCTGCAACTTAAGACTATTCCTCCTTGTTCTGCCACCACTGACAACAGTAGCTCCTTCCTCTTTGCAGTTCCCCTTCAGGTAGTTAAAGGCTGCTATTAAATCCCCTCTCAAGTCTTCATTTCTGCAGACTAAATAAACCCAGTTCCCTGGGCCTCTCCTTAGAAGTCATAAGTAATGCCACTCAAGACACCTCTCCTCAAGCAGCCTCCATTCTGGATAGTGCCCAGCGCCAGAAATGGTGTGCTCAACTACTTCAGTCTCTCCCACGCTTCACATCAGCTTGGACCAAGCTCCAACCCTTCCTGCTTTACTCAAAAAAGAGTAGAGGAAGTCAGCTGGGGTTCACTACTAATATTCACTTTATATTAAAAATTTCCCTAGGCTTGCAAGGAGGGCCAAAAAACAAAGACGCAGGTGATAAGTCATTGAGGTGATAAGACACTGAACTGATAAGACATACACCTTGGCCACATTTACACAAGATGTAAATGTGTGTTGGGTCACAAGATGCAACACAAATGACATGACATGATGCTACTGTGCAGTAGTCACAAGCTACTGTACAGGCAGCATCACAAAAAAAGCCATTCGGTGACACTACTGCACAGTAACTCTGGTTACTGTGCAGTCATTTAGTATCTGTTTGTACACATACTAAATGACTTTGCAGTCAGCATCTTGTGTAGACACAGCCCTTGTTTAGCAACTCAGCAGAGTTGAGTTAAAATGATTAATTGACCTTATTATTTCTTACAATGCTTTCTAATAATAATGTAATAACTTCATGGAAAAGAAAAAAAAATCATCCAAAGAATCCAATGCAATTTTGGAAGACCGGCAGGCACCTTCCCATTGTCTTCAATGGACTTTGCATTGTACCCCCAAGGCGTGATGTAAAACGCTGCTCAGTTTTTCAGCCAATCTAGAGGAACAGCGACACTGCTATGATCATATCTTGCAATACTATCTTGCATACTGCTGCTGAAGAAAATTAGAGTAGTTTGTCCCTGGATTTATTCCCTGGTAGGGAGGATCCAAAAGGGAAAGGCTAAGGGAAGAAGAGGACAAAAGTTCCTTCAGGCAGCAGAAAGATGTTTTTTCACACAGCACTGTGGGGGGAAAATGTTTAGAAGTGGTCCTGGAATATTGAAAACTGTTATCCAGACCTATAAGAAAAGTCTCTTGTTCTCCCAGCTTATGCTCCAAATCAGTGGTTTTCAACTATGTTTAAGGGGTCCATGAAAGGGATGACTATAATCAATCAAAAGTATGTGAATACCCACACAATTCAAAGGGGTTCACACCTCCATTCAAATTTTCCAAAGGGGTCTGCACTTGTATTCAAATTTTTTAGGGGCCCGCAAATTAAAAAAGGCTGAAAACTACTGCTCTAAACAAGCTGTATTACAGAAAGGTTGAGAACTGCCCCCTAATTGAATTGGTTCCTGATCTGTACATGGTTGTGGTAATATTCTGCACTATTTATCAGACACTGCCATTCAGAAGACCAAGATTAGAATGAAAATGCAAACAAGAGTTTACTACAATGCTACTCTGTAGTGATGCCTCTCTAAAAGGTCTTCTGTTGGCCCATTAACCCAGCGTAATGGGACCTCACAAAGCAGCTACATGCATTGCACTAGAGATCCTGGCTTCCTCAGCACCTTTGGACCACTCCACTCTAATCTTGTCTGCCGTTAATCTCATCTTTCTTCACTAAGAGAACCTACAGCTCTTATCACACTCAGTTTAATCATCATTCTTGCTCAGCATTTGCCTGATGCAAGTTGCCAACCACATCTGTGATTCCAAGCTGCCACAGTACCTTCCACAACCCTAAAATACCACTATTTTTCCTGTTAAAGGATTATCACTCAAAATATATTTTCTATTTGACTAGCTATACACAGGAAAAAGGATTGCACTCCATTTATACTCCATTATATCTAGCTACATAACCTCTGTGGCTCACTCTTTGAAGACTTTTCTATGAATCAGGATCTGCATTCTCCCCTCTAGTTTATTTTGAATACATTCTTTCTTGCTCTCTCTGTTAAGGTGTCATGCAAGTCCCTGAGGCTATATATCTGGCAAAGCTTGGCAAATCATTTGTCATGAATAATTTACTGGACAAATTTTACTTCTATTTCTGTTGTGAATTGTCTGCAAGCAGATCACAGATTTCTTGAGTTTAATTCTTATTTGAAATTGTTTGTCAGGTAATCCTTAATCTTTGCACTCTTGAAGCAAGGGTATACCTTGCAAGTGCATGAGTCCTCCCATTAAAGTTGATGCATAACGT